CTGTAGGGCTTCTCCTTCAAGAATAAGCACGTTTAAAACATGATCATCTTTGCAGTTGTTGTTGTTGTTGATTCCTCTGTTGCTCCTCTAGTGGCGTTAATCGTCAATCGCCAATTGCGATTTCAACCTCCATCCTCTAGTAATCGCCCTTTTGATAATCGACGCCGATGACCCCAATGTCAATTGTGTCAAAACCAGGGCACGAAGCTATTAATTTTTGGCAACGAATCAATCTTATTGATTACCCTAGTCGCAAGCCCAATCCACATGATACACAAGCCCACCAGGCCCATCTGTATCAATACCACGACCAATCAGCCATGACTGATCCATCTTGGTATGTCGACTCAGGAGTGACTGATCATATTGCCCTCAATCTTCAACGCATGAACATCACAGAGGAATATCAAGGCAATGACAAACTCTAAGTTGGTAACGGTATGAATCTCCAAATTTCTCACATTGCCTCTGCATCTCTTCACAATTTAAATTTTCCTTTTGTTTTAATCGTTTCCCACACCACTAAACGATTTATTAGTGCCTCCAAACTAACCAAAGACAACAATGCCTATTTGGAATTATGGCCTAATCGGTGTGTTGTTAAGTCATTATAGGGTCAAACCCTACTCAACAGGGACGTTCATAATGGGTTGTACCGTCTCCCAAACTCCTCCAATAAATTGTGAACATCTTCTTCTCCTATAGTAGCTCTTGTTGGCATCTGCACATCCCTTCATGTTTGGCATAGTCGCATGGCTCATCCACATGCTCTACTGTTAAAACACTTAGTTTCTTCTTTTAATCTTCCATTGTCATCAAATAACTTTCCCAATGTTCGTAATTTTTATCAACTTGGGAAGAGCCATAGATTTTCCTTCCATCTTTCTCATGTAACTTCAAACAAACCATTTGATTTAATATATTATGATGTTTGGGGTCTAACACCTTTCTTTTCGATGAATGGAAATCGTTATATCTTATTATTTGTTGATGATTGCACAAAATTTGTTTGGATATATTTCTTATCACACAAATCACAGGTTTTTCCTACCTTTGTTCAGTTTCATAAGATGGTCAAAACTCAATTCTCCACTAATATCAAACATATACTATCTGATTGGGGTGGTGAATACCGTCCCTTCTCTCCCTATCTAAACTCTCATGACATCGGTCATCGAGTCTCATGCCCATATACCCAAGAACAAAACGGTGTTGTGGAGCGCCAGAACAGAATCATTGTTGAAAAAGGACTATGCCTCCTTGCCCACTCTTCCCTCCCGAATGAATTTTGGGAACACGCGTTCAAAACAACTACGTACGTACACAATCGCACAATTACCCCAATTCTTAACTACCACTCCCCATATCAACAACTTTACAATCAGATTCCCGATTATGGTTTTCTAAAAACCTTCGGTTGTCCCTGTTTCCCATTTCTTCGCCATTATAATTCCAATAAGATGGATTTTTGATCCAAACCTTGTGTGTTTATTGGCTATAGTGCCTCACACAAAAGATACCTCTGTTATCATCAACCCACATCTGAAATTTACATTGCACGGCATGTGGTCTTCAATGAGGATGTGTTTCCCTCCTCGAAACCAATATCCTCCACCACTGCTGCCCCTACTTCAATTCCTTGCAATCCCTCCCCTACACATTTGTTACAACATGCCTTACAACCTCCAGTCAACCTATCACCATTACCTACACCACCCACTACCCCATCCTTACCACGTAAACTAACACCATCTAACTCTTCCTCTTCTACACCTACTCCCAACACACATTACCAACGCTCTATCATCAGTTCCTGTGCCCATCAACATCCACCTCACTTTCGTCTTGCCCAACATAATCAACATCACATGGTCACTCGTGCTCGCACTAACTCTCTCATACCTAAAACTTTTACCACCACATTAATTTCCCATGACTTAACTGAACCTTCTTCTTTCAAACAAGCCAACACTTCATCTTGTTGGCAACAGACAATGAATTGTGAATATGTTGCTCTGATGAGAAATAATATTTGGAAATTAGTACCATGTCCTACTAATGTAAATGTTGTAGGGTGCAACACATTCAATCTTGTAATCAAGCCAATAATCTTGTTCTTTCACTTGCTATTTCCAACAAATGGAGCATTCGCCAACTCGATATTAACAATGCATTCCTAAATGGCGACTTGGTGGAGGATTTTTATATGCGACAACCAAAGTGATTCGAAGACAAACAAAATCCCACACACGTTTGTCACTTGAAAAAGGCCATTTACGACCTCAAACAGACACCTCGTGCATGGTTCAACGAGCTCAAAGCATATATCATTTGACAACAACTCAAAGTCATCCACTCCAATACCTCACTATTTGTGCATAAATCTAACAAAGCTAAAATATATGCGTTAGTTTATGTTGATGATCTGATTATAACAAGTATGGATGACACATTAATCCGAAATTTTATTAAAATACTTAACCAGGTGTTTTCTCTCAAAGACTTGGCTGCTCTACATTACTTTTTTGGCATACAAATTAATTATCAAGGATCTGATGTTACTCTCAGTCAAATAAATTATATCAAAGAAATCCTACATACAACAAAGATGCAAGATGTAACTTCCATTTATACTCCAACTGATTGTCAAACCAAGCTCACTTTAGAGGAGAGCCATTTTAGATCCAAAGCTGTACTGACAAGTTGTTGGCTCCCTGCAATATGCCATGATCACACGTCCGTATATAGCTTATGCTGTTAATCACGTTTGTCTATATTGTTGGATTAGTGTCTAAGTCCATAACTATTTTGGTATGTACTTGACCTTATGGTGCATGGTCCTTTTAGGTTGCCTTCATCAAAGCAACTTGATAGGATGAATTATGGAGAGAAAGGATTAATTATGATTTATTAATATATTATGAGAAGAATATATTAAAGGAGAAATCATATTGTTTAATTAATATTAGTCAATAATTAATTAAGAATTAATTTTGTGGCTAAAAGAGATTAATTAAACTTAAGGGACTAGAATTGTAATTATAAGATAATTGCAATTGGGCTATGGATTACCTTATATTATAAGGTTGGACGAATTCTATGGGGAAACCCATTAGAAATCGTCCTAGGCCTTTAAGGAAGGAGTCCATGGATTGCTTAGGGCTTAAGCATCCAAATTAGGGTTTCCTTATTAGATAACCCTAATAGCCTCACTATTTAATGACCCATTGGGTACCAAAAACGGAGGCAACCGAACCCCTAGGGTTTCTACACGTTTTTGAGTGTCTCTTTCTCTTCTCTTCTTCATCCTCTTTGCTCTTGGTGTTTGTGAACCATTAGAGGAGTGACATTTGTGACTCTAAGCTTTCTAAAGTCAATACAAGAAGGAATTGTGATTGTTATTGCTACATAACAATCAAGGTAATATCTTAAACCTATTTATATGTTAATATCGATTATCATATGCTAGAATTAGGGTTTATAGTCTTAGATGAATTTCATGTACAATAGAGAAACCTAGATCCAAGCATTAGGGTTTGTATAAGCACATAGGATGTTCTTATGGCTAAAACCCATCAAATATATGCACAGTCCCATTGTCAAGCACTAACAAGCAGTGAAGCGAATTCTTAGGTATCTCAACGGTACACTTCATCACTGCTAGCACTTCTCCCCAACAAGATCCACTTTCTTGCTAGCTTACTCTGATTCTGGTTGGATATCTGATTCGAATGATAGTTGAAGTCAATATGGATTTGCAATTTATCACGGGTCAAACTTAATCAACTGGACTTCACGCAAACAAAGAATGGTCGCTCGATCGAGCATTAAGGCTGAATACCGATCCCTTGCTTATATAACCGTTGAACTTTTATGGCTCAAACAACTGCTAACTGACATGGCAGTTTCCTTTACCAAGCCTCCTCTCATTCTCTGTGACAATGTCGGCGTAATATTCATGACCAAAAACCATGTCATTCGCACAAGGTTAAAACACATTGCTTTGGATGTTCACTTTATATGGGAACAAGTAGAGTCTGTAGATCTTCTAGTAAATGGAATTTCATATGTTGATCAAATCGCAGACGTCTTCACGAAAGCTTAGTGAAAAGATCGTTTAGCTACACTCAGAGACAAGCTTCAAGTTCGACCCTCCTTTCAGCTTGCAGGGGGGTACTAACGGTCATATTCTCAACGTTTTTGGAACGTGTGTTAGATTAAATCAGAGTCAAATTGTATTCCATATTTGTAGGAGTATTCAGTTGTATTTGTTGTATTTGTGTGTATAAATACTTGGTGTATATCATTGTATCAGTATCAATAAAATAGAGACCATCATTACTTCTTCAATTGTTATACTAGAAATAGGCGTAAGCCAGTTGCACTTATCAACTTATGTATAACTTCTTCAAAATCATAGTATATATTGATTAATTAACTATATAATTTTATTAAAACTCATACCCTATTTTCGAAGCCCTATGAAGTTACACCTCTTATAAACCCTTAGGGCCAGGCCTACCTAGTTTGATTTATACAAAATCATGGTTAAAATGGTAATCTTTATTATTTTAATTAAATATCAAGAAATGTTTTGTGGGATTAGTTTGATTTATACATTTTCTTTTAAATTGATTTGTTTATTTTGAAAGCTTCTGATATAGCAACAAAATAATATTTCTTAAGCGGGAATGAAATTTTTATGATATGCCTAATATTAAACGTTTTGTTTTGGTAAAAAGTCCTTATTATGGTACATAATTTTTAAATTATAAATATATCGTAAGCAATGAATTATGACAATGTTTTTATCAAATTATATATTGCTTTAAATTAGTTATAAGTTAAGTAGTAACTAATAAATCATGTTATCACATATATTTTAATGATTCCGCTTGTTTATTAATCGTGTATACACTATATACAATTATAAATACTTAATTTATATGTTTTTACTACTAATAAATAAAAATACCAAAATAAATTATATTCCTTGTTTAAAGAAAAATGATAGAAAAACATTTGTAAGAAAAGGTCCCTTACTCTCAACGCTGTAATAAAAAGCAGAAGCTCAACCCTCTGTATATGTCCCGAGACGACTCGGTTGTCTGATTGTCAAACCCTAGCATTCTCTCTTTCTCTCTCTAACTTTTCTCCGCCATGGCTTCACGGAGGCTAGCTGCCTCCCTCATACGCTCCTCCCTCCACCGATCATCAACCAGATCTCCGTTTACTCACTCCACCAGAGCCGCACGCGCACTATCCCAATCACACCCTTCTCCTACCGGTTACTTTCTTAACCGTGTAGTCAACTACGCTACTTCTGCCGCCGCCGCTCCGACCAAGCAAGCTGCAACAACCCCTGGCGAAGGATCTAACTATGGAAAGATCACTGACGAATTCACCGGAGCCGGCGCGATTGGACAGGTGTGCCAGGTGATTGGTGCTGTCGTCGATGTGAGATTCAGCGAAGGATTGCCGCCGATCCTTACGGCGTTGGAGGTTTTGGATAACTCGATCAGGTTAGTTTTGGAAGTGGCGCAGCATTTGGGGGAGAATATGGTTAGGACTATTGCTATGGATGGTACCGAAGGGCTTGTCCGTGGTCAAAGAGTTCTCAACACCGGTTCTCCTATCACTGTAAGTTTTTCAAAAAATTCAGATCATTTTAAGAACACGATCCGATTTTGTCTGGATTTCTCGTTTGAGATCCAGTACTTTATCATTTTTGTAGCCTGTTGGTTTATGGTTCAGATCGGTAAAGTCAACATGTTTAATTGTAGCCAAGTACTTTGTATGCCATTGTATATGGTGATTTAACACTATTGCGCAATGATCCATGGAGCTAATCAGCTAATTCAATGTCATTGTAGGTACCTGTTGGTAGAGCAACCCTTGGTCGTATCATTAACGTCATTGGAGAGCCAATTGATCATAGAGGCGATATTAGTAAGTGTTGCATGTCTTTCATCCATTATTAGTAATTTAGTATCTTAACCTTTTGATTCTTTTCAACAGAAACCGATCACTATCTGCCAATCCATAGAGAAGCACCAGCTTTCGTAGAGCAAGCAACTGAGCAACAGATCCTTGTCACTGGAATCAAGGTTGTAGATCTTCTTGCTCCATACCAAAGAGGAGGAAAGATTGGTTTATTCGGTGGTGCTGGTGTAGGAAAAACTGTCCTCATCATGGAACTTATCAACAATGTCGCCAAAGCCCATGGTTAGCAGATAGACACCACAACACTTTTCAGTTTTCACCACATTGATTTGTAATACATTTCACCACATTCTTACGAACTCTGGTTATGTTTTCCCAGGTGGGTTTTCCGTCTTTGCTGGTGTTGGAGAACGCACACGAGAGGGTAACGATCTTTACAGAGAAATGATGGAAAGTGGTGTCATTAAGCTAGGCGATAAACAGGTTCACCATTTTCTTACTTTTTCACTATCTTATTTCAATGCTATGAATGTTATAATCTAATGTATGTTTTCATGTTTGTAGAGTGAGAGCAAGTGTGCACTTGTCTATGGTCAAATGAACGAACCCCCAGGTGCCCGAGCTCGTGTTGGGCTGACCGGACTGACCGTAGCTGAACACTTCAGAGACGCTGAAGGCCAAGATGTGCTTCTCTTTATCGACAACATCTTCCGTTTCACCCAGGTGTGTGTTTTTAACTTTCTCTTCTTTTCAAGTTCCAACATTGTACTCAACAAGGGCAAAATGGTCTTAACGTTTATATATTTTTGACATCAGGCAAACTCTGAGGTGTCTGCTTTATTGGGTCGTATCCCATCTGCTGTTGGATACCAACCAACTTTAGCTACTGATCTTGGAGGTCTTCAAGAACGTATCACCACAACCAAAAAGGGTTCAATCACATCTGTTCAAGCTATCTATGTCCCTGCTGATGATTTGACCGATCCTGCCCCTGCCACCACCTTTGCTCACTTGGATGCCACTACTGTGCTATCCCGACAGGTAAAAGGGTATTTTAGTCATTTTGTTGTATGTTGTTCAACTTTATGACACTGGTTTTAATTGAATTACAGATTTCTGAGCTTGGTATCTACCCTGCTGTGGACCCACTTGATTCCACATCGCGTATGCTGTCACCCCACATTTTGGGAGAAGATCATTACAACACAGCTCGTGGGGTCCAGAAGGTTCTTCAGAATTACAAGAATCTTCAGGATATTATTGCTATTTTGGGAATGGATGAGCTTAGTGAAGATGATAAGTTGACTGTTGCACGTGCTCGTAAGATTCAAAGGTTCTTGAGTCAACCCTTCCATGTTGCTGAAGTTTTCACTGGTGCCCCTGGTAAATATGTTGAGTTGAAAGAAAGCATTGCTAGTTTCCAGGTGAGTGTTTAGTAAATTACGTAATTACCCCCCTTAGTTCTTGTCTTGTTGCGGAAATTTGATGTTGATTTTAATTTTTAATCGCAGGGAGTGTTGGATGGGAAGTATGATGATCTTTCAGAACAGTCGTTTTATATGGTTGGAGGAATTGATGAGGTTATTGCGAAAGCTGAGAAGATTGCTAAGGAATCTGCTGCTTCTTCTTAGATGAGTTTATGAATATTATTGTTGTGATAGATTTGAGATGAAAAAAGAATGAATAATTTTTATTGATATGGTGCTGGAAGCGCCGGGAGTTTTTTTTTTTATTTTTTTTTATTTTGAGAAAACTGAGATTAAGTTGGGATTTTTTTTTGGATCCCTGTTTTTTTTGAGTTTTAATGCAATGAAATGGATGCCAGCAAAATCCCTATTTCGGCTTTTGTTGTTGGATAATAATAAGAAGAGGGATATATGTGTTGGGAATTGGAATTTGTATATTTGCTCATTTTGATTTTGATTTTCCAGACATTTGTTGAAATTTGTCTTCATATTTCCTATGAACTTGATAAAAGGTCGAAATTGGATATTTAACTCGGTGAGTTGAAGCGGGTTATAGATGTAGTTCAAAATTTAAAGGTGACGAGAAAGTTAGTGATTGTAAGTAATCATGAAGTTTAACAAATAAAAAGTCACTTATATTTTTTTGAATGAATAAATCAACTTTTCTGGAACAAGATGAAAGCTAGAATCCCGATAAATCTGCCAAGATTACGCTGCGATGGCATATTGGGCCATTGACAACCATTTCATAATGGTTAACCCCATTTCTAGAAGTACACCTTTTTTTGTAACAGCTGAGTTTGCAATAGTTTAAATGTCTAGGCCCAAAAACCTTTTACATTTTACTAAAATTATGGGCCCATTTATGGAGGCCCACAATTTTTGGTGGAGGTAGAACGGTAGAACTTAGAAGTGAAGGAAAAAAAACCGGTTTGAGAAAAAAACACAAAAAACTGACGGTTCTTAGGAAAATAAATAGAGGTGGCAATCGTGTTGTGTTAGGTTTGTGTCGTATCGAAACACTAAACGGGTTGAAAGTGCTTGACCCTAACCCAACCTATTTAATTAACGTGTCGTGTCGTGTCAACCCGTTTATTTTCGTGTCGAGTTCGTGTCGGGTTTCGGGTTAGGGCTATACCTTGAAATATGTCGTGTCATGTGAGGTTAAAAGATTGAGCATGTTAAAAGAGTAGGAGTTGGGTAGGCGGAAAGGAAAAACTAAAAGTTTGGAGGCAGAATAGATGAAATCATAGCAAGTTTAGATGACAAAATTAAAAGAGTGTGAGTTGGGGAGGCAGATGAAAAGGTCGCGAGGATGTGAGAGTGGTGAAAGAGACTAGGTAGTTTGGGAGAGAATGGAAAAACTGAAATTAAGTCTTGATCTAGACGGCTAAGTCATTTCAACATTACAAAACGACTCAATTCGAAGATTTTCTTTTACTTATGGTTTTGGTTTTGTATCTTTCTAGTTTATTTAAATAAGGGAAAACTACAATAAAGTCCCTAAGTATTGCCCGTATAATCGATTTAGCCCTTATATTTTTTTTTTTTGCAATTTAGTCCTAAATACCTGTAAACGTAATCAAAATGAGATATTTAATAGGTTAGCCGGTATCTAACTGATGTGGCAGCTTACGTGGAAGTCATCATGTGAAATAACATCCTACGTGCCATTTAAGAGGGCTAAATCATTGAATCGAGCTCGTCTTCTTCAATCTCCAGTCAAAGGAGCGAACGATTAGGGCAAATTGGCAACAGGAAATCGATGTCGAGTTCGTCAAGCACCAACATCAGAACGTGCTATTGTGGAGATACGGTTGGGATGTGGACATCATGGACTCGAAAGAATCCAGGTCGGAGGTTTTTTGGTTGCCCAAATTACATGGTATAGAATCTTCAAAACTCACTCAAATTCTTCTAATCCTCTAAATTTCCCATTTTTCTATGTTAAAAACATGCATCTTGCTATGTTATGTAGGATGAAGAGAAGGACTGTGGGTATTTTCGTTGGATTGACCCACCACTATTGAATAAGTGGTATAAAGAAAGAATGTATGAGTTAGGAGCTGTTGCTAATGGGGGTGTAGCTATTCCTTTTAATAACCCTGTTAATGAAGGTGAAATACCTGTTGATGGCCCTATTGCCCCTGTGAATGTTGATGTCCCTATTGCCCCTGCGAATGCTCTTGAACCTGATAATCAAATTGCAATGTGTGACAATACACATGTGCCTAGTAATGAATTTGGATTCTGCAAGTGGATGATGGTTTGTTTTGTTTGTTTCATTGTAGGGATGATGTATGGTTAGTTTAGTGTAAGTTGTAGGGTATTATGGTATGGTAGGGATGATGTAATCTTTTGGTTTGTTATCATCATGATGTAATAGATAAATTTTGATGTAATAGTTTAATGTTTCGGTTAATGAAATGGCAATATGTTATTATGGTTTGCATAAATGGTGTACACTAGAAAATATAACCATGATTTAACAATTGGTGTTGAATTTGGGACTAAAATGATCACCATTGACAACAAACCAATAAAGCTCCAAATCTGGGACACAGTTTGTCTCCTTCTTTTCTTCTATACCTTATTCTCTTGTTACATTTATTATAAAAAGAAATCTTAAAAAAATCTCTTCTTTTTTCTTTATATATTTGTTAGGATGGTCAAGAATCATTTAGATCAATAACAAGATCTTACTACAGAGGTGTTGCTGGTGCCCTTCTTGGTTTGCATAAATGGTGTACACTTGACAAATATAACCATATTAAGGGCATTCACAATGTTTCAATGTGGCTAAAATAATTAAACAACAAACTCCAATATGTCATTACCAACCATGTTAAGGGCATTCACAATGTTTCAATGTGTTTACAAAAGATGTACAAAATATGGTTATCAGTAATTTAAGGGCATTCACAAAAGATATACAAAAGTAGCATTCACAAAAGATGCACAAAAGTAGCATTCACAAAAGATGTACCAAAATACCCTTACTACCCTTAACACCCTAACACCCTAATCCAACTCCAATGGTGAATTTGAAGAAGTCCCAACACATCCCATCTTCTTCAGCTTGGTTTTAACAATCCTCTCAGAGGGCCTTCTTTTTTTCACAATCCTAAGGTGTACTGGTAATTCATGGGTGTCATTAATGCCTTCTTCTTCTTCCTCACTTTCTGGTTGTGTCTCAGGGATATTTTCTTCATCCCCATCTTGTGTCTCTGTCTGAGGTGGATACTCCTCTTCCTATAAAACATCAAGCAATTAATAACATAAACGAATGTAAACATTAAGGTAATATAGAGGGTTTACCATAGACATAGGAAGAACTTGTTCAATAGTGTCATTGTAATCATTGAGTTGTTTCATATGTGAATCTGTCAGACTAAGTGACTTTTTAATTTCTTCAGTTGAATACCGTGATTGTTTCAAATCTTGCATTGCCTTCCATAAATGGACTAAATATTTTTCAGGAATAGTGTCATCCTCAACTTCAGCCACTCCACCAACTTCAGCCACTCCACCACCTCTGTTAGCCACTACATCACCTGTGTTACCCACTGCACCACCTCTGTTACCCCCTCTACCACCTCTACTACCCCTTGCACCACCTCTACTACCTCTGACACCACCTCTTACACCACCTCTAGTCCAATGACTGATATCAGGATCCAATCTTGGTCTACCCATTTTTTTCTTGGGTTTGGGTTCTGGTGTGACCTTGGGATTCTTACAGGATGCCTTGTTATGACCCCTTTGAAGACAATTTTTGCATTGGACAGTCCTTCCTTTTCCTGTAACCTTCATCTTATTTTGGGAGTATTTGTCTTGAGATTCAGTGGCATGCCTCTTTCTTTTCAGAGTTGGTCTCCCTGGCATTCTTCTAGCTAAAGGGGGTAGAGGCTTTATGTATGATGTTCTAGGCCATAAATTTCTACCATTCACAGGTAGTATATTGTTTGCATATATGGCCTTGAACCTGTCCACATGAAACCACTCACTTATGAAATGAACAGGATCTTGTCCAGTGAATAATATTGCACACTGTGCATGTACACATGGAATTCCTGAGATATCCCAAAGCCTACAGCTGCACACTCTGCTTTGTAAGTTAACCACGTACCCTTCTAATCCATTCCTGGCTTCAAAAATAGATGGTCCACTTGGATTCACATTCCAATTCCTACAATGGCATTACTAAATGAAATCATAACAATGAAATTAGAATAATGATAACAAGGAACAATAAAAATGCTAAGACAAACCTCAAATCCTCTCCAAACTTGTTCATTTTTTTGATAGCAGCTGGACAAACCACTGATTCCCACTTTTCTGCCTTTTGTAACATATGGTAGAACCTATCCATCATGTACAACCTAATTTCTTCAAACATTGCTAGAAGGGGTTTCTTTCTAGCATCCAATATGATGGCGTTGAAGCACTCTGCAATGCCATTTTCAACTGCCTCACATGCTACATCAGTCCTAAAAAATGCCCTGCACCATGTGTGAGGATCTCTTGCGATCAAATGTTCATAAGCATTTGGATTAACCTCTTTTATATCATCCATTTTCCTGAGAAATTCACTCTCTACAGTTGATAAGGAAGCTGCCCAGAACATATTCTTGAACTCCACTCCAGAATAGGTCTTCCTAAAGTTAGCATATATGTGTCTTGCACACTGTCTATGCTCCACATTTGGTAGGACTTCTTTGGTTGCTTCAAGCAATCCCTACAATTTAATGAATACATAAACATATAAGATGATGTTAAGGAAAAATCATAAATATGCAAAGAAATTACAAACCTTATGTTGATCAGAAATTACAGTAAACCCTCCTCCATCTAGCAGATTAAGATCCTCTGTGAGCAGTTCCAAAAACCATTTCCAATTAGCTTTGTTTTCAATGTCAACAACTGCCCAAGCAATTGGATAAACTTGGTTGTTTGCATCCCTCCCTATTGCTGTGAGTAATTCTCCTTTACATGTCCCTTTCAAGAAAGATCCATCTAGACCAATTACCCTACGGCACCCTATTTTCCAACCTTCCTTGATTGCTTTAAAACACAAATACATCCTGTGAAAGTATGTTGTTTCATCTGGATTTACAGTGACACCAACTTGGACAGTGCTACCAGGATTTGACCTTAGTAACTCATGGCAATAGTCCCACACCCTAGCATAATGTTCTGTAAGTTTACCATCTATAATGGTCATTGCTCTACACCTTGTTCTGTAAGCCTTAGACCAAGATACACCACAATGAAATTTGGTCCTAATTATTGATTGCATCTCCTTACACTTCAAGTTAGGTTTCATTATCAACTCCTTCAAAAAGTGTCTTGCTAGCCATCTGGGACTCAGTAAATTTGAAATATTGAAATTTCTAACACATTTGTGCTCATCGACTAAGGTTTTAATCTGAAAAGACCTTTCTTGAGTCATCCAGGAAGCATGAACTCTGAATGGGCAGGGTTGAGACTTCATCTTAGAACCACATTTGGCAGTTAATCTCACAGTGTCACACTTCGCAAATTTAATGTTATACCCTGACTTAATAGCATAATTAGTGAGACATTGTTGCAACTGATGTGGTGATTCATACCTTTCACCAAGAAGGGGCTTCATCTTATTCCACTTAACTGATGGGTCGTGAATGGGGAAGCCTGCACCAACCGCATCTCCCAAATCAAGATCATTAGCCCCTGCTGTGTCATCGATTTCCTCTTCTGAACCAAACCCTTCTTCATCTTCATCAACTAAGTCATTGTCTTCATCGGCTTCATTATCTTCATAATCAGAACTGAAGTTAAGGAAAGCATCCTTGCATCTCTCTTTACCCTGTGTCTTGAAATCATCTTCTTCCAGTTCCACATCTATGTGCTCAGTATCGAGCACCTCGTCATCATCTTCGTATTCTTCAGAGTCGTATTCTTCAGATGACTCATGGCGAACTTCTTCTGATTCGACAACCATTGGGTTTTACCTTCGTTTCTCTCAGTAAAACCTTACTTATTTCGTGTATCACTCTGTAAAAACCCTATCTTTTTCTCCCAATCGATTTACCAGACGTCGAATGCAGTGGAAATGGAAGGGTAAAACTCACTTGTACACGTAAGGTGGGATACCGGCTAACCTATTAAATATCTCGTTTTGATTACGTTTACAGGTATTTAGGACTAAATTGCAAAAAAAAAAAATATAAGGGCTAAATCGATTATACGGACAATACTTAGGGACTTTATTGTAGTTTTCCCTTTAAATAATTCAAAAAACTTGCATATAAATAAACAAGTCATTTTTCAAGTCATTCGAGTTGAGAAACCAATTCATAGAACTACCCATTGGTTTTTCTTTTTAATCTTCTAACGTCTTTTATAACATTTTGTGAGGTTGTCAGGATTGAGATCCTACATTGGATCGTTTTTGGGTTTGTAAGATCGGGATCGTAAGATCAGATCCGGATGATCCCATAAAATAAAACATAATTTTAATTTTTAATTTTAAAACATAAAAAATATCTCAAACATTCAGTTTTTCGGTTCAAAAACTTCGTAACATTAGTCACAACTCACAACATAAAATGATAAACGATAAATTAATAAAAGGTAAAAGATATAAAGTGGTAACTTTATTTAAAAAAATAATAATAAAGGAAGGTAGGATCGGATTAAATCTCGATTCTACGATTCTACCTATGACCCTATTCCAAATGCGACCCGACTCGTTTTTCATATCTAGGATCGTACGATCCGACAATCAAGATTGGGATTTTGACAACTTCGTTATTTTGGTTCAAAATGGTCCTATTGCACCTCTATGTTAATTATAAATAAGTTTTGGTTGTGTTTCATCACCGTATCACTCAAAACGTCATTTAATCTTGTAATATCGGTTATTTTTGCAATCTGGTTTTTTAAAAAAGACAATTATTTTTTTATTAAATGTTTGTTACCCTACAAGTTAAGCACATAATTGTGCCATAAAGGCCCTTATGCCCACAATTCAATCGCCATTCGGAATGATATTTGCATCTAAAATGTCTTGTATATTGTGCCTAACCACGGGACAAAATTTTGAATGACTTCAAAGTTAAACACATACAAAAAGCAAGACTATGGTGTTTTTTTTTTTTTTGGCAAAACGTCTTTTTAACCTTTTATATCTATAGGTTAAAGACATTTGAGGAAAAAAGTGTTTTGTTTTTCAGAAAACAAAAAACATAAAAAAAAAAAGTTTTTTTGACATCTTTTTTCAAAAGACAACAAAATTATGATTTTAGAAAAAAAAAAGTTTTATCACCTCTAAAAATATTTACATTTACATTAATATCCATCATTAGTTTTCAAATTCAATTTCTCCTCACACTCTATAAAACAAAATGACAATATCATTCATTCACTACCTATACTTGTTTGAACTCTATTTATAGCTTTCCATGCCTGAAAAACATTAAAAAATCAAGATCATTATTCAATAACATGTACCACTACTACATAAGCCACAATAATCACGATGAACTTCAACATAAAATCAATATACCTCATCATTCCAATTAGTCGACAAATTAATTGCAACTAGTGCCACAACTTGTACAGAAAGTGCACAAATGATCCCCATCCATAGCCCCTAAAATCACAAATCTTCATTTCATGAATAAACTTCAAATTTACACTCAAAATAAGGTACCAAAATCTCACCATGCCTCCAACATGAAGAACAAAAGCAAATAGCAATGCACAAGGAATTCCCACAACATAATAAGCTCCAAGATTGATAATTGCACACACATTTTGCCACCCACATCCTCTAGCAGCACCTAATTTTCAAGAAAATAAATAAATAAAAAAAATTAAATAATGTATTACTTACTTACTTATCACGAATCATTCATACCTGAAAGAACGCATTGAAATCCATCTAAGAAATCTGATAATGCAAGTAGTGGCATCATTTTTGCAACATATTTAATAACTTCTTCATCATTGCTATATAATTTCCCCCAAACATTTCGTACTAAAATAGTAATTGTTCCTACTATTAAACCCTCCAAAATTGCTATTACAACCACAACACAAACAGCCAAACGTGCCGCTTTAGGTCTTGATGCCCCTAACTCATTTGAAACTCTTGTACTACAATAAATAACCAAATGTTACATAATAATATAATAGTATAAAAGTATATATCAAATTAAAATTATAAATGTTACACATTACAAACCTTATTGCTCCACCAAGGCCAACAGATATCATATACACCATCCAACATGTGTTAAGGCTGCCAAAATAAAAAAATGTTAATGTCATAAATGGGTGACTAAGTATTTTTTTTTTTTTTTTACACATTGTTAAAAAAATAAATGGAACATTTCGTTATCCTATAATGACATTAACCCAAATAAAAAACCAACCTGATTGATAATACAGATGTCTCTAACTTCGGGTTTGGGAGAAGACCAGATAACAAAACTACCATATCAAATGTCCAATATTCAAGGCTGTAAAACACGATTGTCAAATTCATATAAAGAAAATGTAAATAAGTTTATTGCTAAATGTAAGTATATTTATATTATAGGTTAAAAAAATATAAATTACATTGCTATTTCTGTAAACATACCAAATCATAAGAGCAGAAGGAACAGCAAGTTTCATGAAGCTAAGAACATCATTGAAAGCTTCTTTTGAAAAACCAGTCCAAGTGTGTAAACAAGCATTAGAAAACTTGACATAAAATCCCAAAAAAACAACATTCATCCAATTCGATATTGTATTAGCCAATGCAGCCCCTTTGATTCCAAACCCTAATTTGAAAACAAGAACCCAACACAAAAGTGTATGAATCAAAGCTGTGATCCCTGAACTTATCATCATAGGAACCACAATATTTTGTGTTTGAAGAAATTTATTTAAACATTGAAGAAGAGCATAAGCAAATAAACTTGGAATCATCCAACGAATAAAAGTTCCAGCCCCATTTGATATTTCTTGATCTTGACCTAAAGCTATGAAGATTGTGGGAGTGTAGAACCAGATAAATGCAAGTGGAATGCTTAGGGTTGTGAGAGTCAACATTGCTCTTTGCATTTGAATCCCAAGCATGTGGTATTGTTTAGCTCCATAGGATTGTCCACATAGTGTCTCTAATGCACTTCCCATTCCTAACTATAAAAAAAGTTTTTAAAAATTGTGTCAATAATTTGTTTAAATATTGATCATTTTGGATTGAAGTCGAAAAAAGGAGATGAGATAGTGATTAATGAGTAGTCTCACCAAGACACTAAAACCAGTGAAGGAAGCAAAAGATGTAGCCATGGAAGCACTGGAGAGAGGGAGTTGTCCAAGATGACCAACAAACATGATTGAAATCACTTCAAGACAATACTGCAACAAGCTTACTGCTATCAATGGACATGATAATCCTATTTGCTTCTTTACTTCATCGTATACTTGTCTTCTTAAACCTAACTCTTCTTCTTCTTCTTCATGTTGTCTTTGGATTAATGGATCTTGAATTACTTTTTCTTCTTTCATTTTTGGTTATGTGATCGTTTGCTTTGTGGAAGGAGTTAAATAATTGTTGGAGAATAATAAGTTACATGAATTAAAATTTTGAGATGTGGGTCGCACCTTTTTTTGGATTTATTGATATGTTTCTCCATCATTTTGTCTTGTGGCTATTGGACTCTTTGTTGTTCCTTTTGGTTTATCTTATTATATTCCTTACTTTGATGTTTACTTGGCCTTCCTTGTGGACTTCATTTTTACTTTAACCATAACAATATAATATTTTAGGAAGAAATTAAACCGGTTAAAAAATAGAAACTAAATGAGTTGGAATCAATTATGTGTTTGGTTGACATGTAATGAAATCTCTCTTTTTATTTCCAAATTTGTCAAAGGATTAGAAAGTAAGTTATATAATACGATCGAAATGCTTTTTTATTGATTTGTTGTAACTTATTATTATTATTATTATTATTATTATTATTATATACTAATTAAATTCCAACATTCTTATGAACAGTACCTTAGGTAAGGTACTGTTCATCAGTTTAGTTGTGGGTTAGTTGTCAACCAAGGTTAATTTTCACCGCTTCTCATTGCCTGTCTCACCGACTCTACTTCATCTATATCTCATCGGCTTTTCTTTTTCTAGAATGTACTTCACCGGATCTTCTACCACCTCGCTTGCTACACTCAAGAAACGATTACTTCCGTTACTTCCGAGTCTCATTGGTTCTTCTTGGCGGAATCGAACCATCATCTTCAGCCGAGAGAAGTGGTGATCTCATCTTTGCTTGCTGGGAGAGAGGAAGCTTCCGGACCACCTTTTCCAGCCAGACAGACATGATATCGGTAACAACAGTAGATGCATACATCAATCGACACTGAGTTCTTTCTCTCCACTGGAAGCCTTCGATGTCCGTTGCGGTCTCAGGCGTTCCCCTTTCTTGCGCCTCCACCACCACCTGTTGTCCAATTACATCCACATTTGAAACCAAACGTTTTTACTGGCAACATCGACTTGAAATAGCAGCACCAGATATGAAGTTGTACGTTTGGTTGCTCTGACAAGTACGAATATGCTCCATTAATTCCATTTCATGTCAAATAAAACGACATGCTCTTGGGTGTCTAAGGCCCTATCATGCTCTTAATTTTATGGTAATACCAACACATATGACAACCTAATACCCATTCTGTAAATCGAAAGTTTATACATCATAAAGATGTTTGGTTTTTAGACACTCACAAACATTGATATGTTGCTTAATTTTTCAATTCCTATTTTCATTCTTACCATTTTGATATATGTGATTTGTTTATGTGGTTTTTTTTATAACAATTTGGCATATTTTTTTATAGTTCACCATCTTGATTGAAATACGGAGATAAAGATTTACATTTGAGGGATTGTTGGGGCCTTCGTGCCGGAGAAGTATCCACATTTATTCTTGCATCTGCTAGCCCGCCAAGTGTTTGCTAAAATGCTTGAATGGTATTTGAAATATATATTGTAGCTGATAATCTATTATTTTTCTTTGTTTTTGGTATTAATTTCAAATGTCTTATTGTTATCTTCTTTGATTAATTTTTTCAGTTTGTGATACACATGAGAATTTTGAGATTTCTCGAATGCAAGATCCAAAGATTTGGTCTCTATGTTTATGTATATGTACTGTTCTAAATGATGTTGTGTGCTTGAATTTTGGTTCCATTAAAAAAAATTATGCTCAGCTCTTTATGAAAATAAAGTAAAACGTCTCTTCTAAATTTTTTGTTTTTTCCTTCAAAGTAAATGGCACTTACTGTAAATGCTTTTGATTGTTTGTTTCAAACTATTTTCACTCATATATGTAGGTTATGCAAACACTATTTGTTTTTTTAATTATTTTGGTCAATTAAACTTTAATGTGGTTTTTCTAATCTAACGATATGATTTACCTCATGATCAATGGTGGAGGTATTGCAGCGACAATTCAATCAAGAATTCACATAGGATACAAATGTTTAAATTTTGTAGAATTAAAGGTAACGTTTTACTTGCTAATATATTTACTTTTGAAATGGTAGGATAAATGTGTCTAAGGCAAAATATAAAGTGTGACTTCATATAAAGGCTGAAAGTGGCATGTTTCTTTTTTTTCCATTATATAAAGTATTGTTCAAAAACTATTTCCATTCTTCTATGTTAGTTTCAGGGAGATATTTTTTTTTCAAAAGTCATGGAGCTTCTCGCATGTTTAACCAACGATTGAAAGGGTTGAAAAAACAGTATGTTCACTTATTTATTTTCGCTTTTTTTAAGTATGACAATATTACAAATATTACCTTTCAATCTGCAGTTATCGTAAAAATGTCTACCTGCAAGTAACCAAATATGTTAGAAGAATGGAAAGAATTTTGATTATATTCTTATAGTATATAACGTTCTGTACTATATCATTTTAGTTAATTGGGTTAATGTCCAAAAACAGTAACCAAGTATAAAAATTGTTTCATCTAGGTTACTCTAACTTTTTTTTTAATAAAGTCTGACCCACTCATTTTCAAATTTTGTCCCATATTGTATTTTTCAATCGTTTTTTTTGCAGAAACGGTTACTTTGGGTTGCTATGTTGGGTCGATATTACCAAAGAGTGACTAAGTTTAACGGTTGTTCCTACAATCACTATAACCCTTTTTAAAGGTTCAACTACTCAACTTTCTATTTTGTTCCACTATTTTAAAATTTTTTAAGAATTTAAACCACTCAAAAAGTCAAACTTGTAGTTAAGTAAACAGATTTAGAGCTTTTACTTTGGTCCAATTTTTTTCGTAAAACATATCATTATGTCCATGATTGTTATGATCATTACAGGTGTCTTGTAATGTTTGTAGTGATTATAGTATTGATGTATTCTCAACCCGTACTTAGTTATTCAAGACTTGGACACTCAAATTTTGTTTATTTATTTATTTCTATTTTGGCTTGGTTGTTTATTCCACATTATTTTCTCTTTTGTATGTATGAAATACTGTGCTAGCATTTGTTTAAAATCAATTGCCTTCCATTTATTTTAGACAAGATATTAACAAGGTATTGACTAATCTTCTTTTATTCTATCATCGATTGCTTCCTCAATACCCATTCATGTTTTGATATGTATAAATTGGTAATAAACTGAAGACTCAATTATTATTGTGAAGGGAGCATGGGACGTATGTTTCGTCGCCTCCATCATACCCAAAGAATACCATTCAGTTATACCCACCCTGTTGCTTATGAGATTTGAAAAAAAAAAATCATGATGCACACTAAGTGCTCAATAAAATGATTTAACTAGGTTTTTGGATTTTTATTCAAATCCATTATTTAGAGTAATGATAGTTTTGTTCTCACTTAGTGTTTAATGTTACCTTTTATCCTCTATTTTATGAAATCAATAAACTGAAATATAGTTTGGTTTCTATTAACCAAATGAAAATTCAAGTTGATCTATGTGACAAAGAATATTCAATTGTTGATGATCGAGTTAGTTCCCCATGTTATGTTATTTGGGTTTGGACACGTGACTAGGCTACTTTATACCCTAATATCTTGCTTAATTTTCTTTTTTGAATTTATTTGCAACAGTGAGTTAAGCTCTACCAATAGGAGCTTTACTAAGTAAATGAATTTTTCAAGTCAAGATTTAAGGTTTAACTAGCTAAGCTAATTAAAAATGGAGATGATGACAATTCAGCTGGTTGTTGATGCCGAAAAAAATCTCAGGTTAGTCTATGTAATCCTTTTCTTACTGAACCAAAGGTTATAGTTTGTACTCTTTTTTAAAGGATAATCTTTCTGCAATTGATATTCTTTCATCATGCAATCTTGTAAATTATTTTGAGAAAATGGTTCTCGGAGGTTTTGGGGTTGTCTTTGTTTTGGTTATTGAATTATCATACACAATGCCTTTGTATTATTTTGTTTTTGTATTTCATTTATTGAGGCTCTTTGCAGATACGAGACATATGACTTAATGAACTCATATATATTAGCAAATGTTTGAAGTTTTCTGTTATGTGAAGTCCCTGCAATTGAAGTCCCTGCAATTGGAAGGTTGAAAATTTATATTTCCTTAAATACCCTCTCCCACCCCATAAATGGAATTCAAACTCTACTTTTCAAAGTACAACCTAACTTCAATGTATTTACTTCTTTGTTCTCGATTAATATTGTTGAAATCACACAAGATATTTTTCCCAACATCTTCATTTCTTATATCAATTTAGGACAAAGAAACAGAAGGTTTTCATGTACTTACAACTGAAACCTCACTACAACACCCTAATCTACTCTCATTCAATCACACTCAACCCTAATCTAAACAGATCATACGATAAGAAACAACCGATCATTGATCTATCAACAAACGATTGAGAGATTACAATAACTTGTTAACATACACAAGAACAGAGAGAAGTAGATATATGAACAAAGAAAGTACGAACAAAACTAGAGAATACCCTAACTCTTTCTCAAGCTAAAGAAGACGATCTGCTAAATATCTCCACTCTCTCTCTTCTTTTATATCTCAGTAACACGAATGGATCAACCCGAATATATTTGACCCATATCAGAAGATCCACGCATTGTTCCTGCATTTACAATCTAAACCACCAACAAATACTTCAAGCACAAAAAAGCCCTTTAAGAATACAAATAAATATAAGATTGAATTATTTCATTATTTTCAACATTCCCCCTCAATCGAAATATTTATTTGTTTTTCTTAAAAACATCAATGAGACCCATTTTTTTAGATAAAAAATCATGTTGTTTGATATTCAAAGTTTTTGTAAGAATATCTGCATTCTGTTCAGAAGAAAGAATTTTAACCAGTTTTATAACTCCATTTGAAATTTTTTCTCTAACAAAATGCAAATCAATTTCAAAATGTTTAGTTCTTTCATGAAACACTGGATTAAGAGCCAACTTAATTGTTGAATTATTATCACAAAATACAGAAACTGGAATAAAATTCTTAACTCCTAATTCAAAAAAGATTTTCAAAATCCAAATTATTTCACAAGTAATAGACCCAAGAGCTCTATATTTAGCTTC